AGACATTTTAATATCTGCGTGGAGAGTGACTCGAACCCCTGACGTTCCACACAAATGTTACATTTCCTACCACTTTGGCACTTTATCTAATTTGATTATTTCTTTCACATTTTATATTTATACCACAAATGTATAACATTTTTTTCATTCTTTTTTCTATATTTGGTCAAATTTGGTTGATCATTTCTCCATCCTAAGGCCAAACTTGGGTATTGGTCTTGAGAAATGAGAAATCCTCTCCAACTCGACACGGATTGTTTCTTTGTCATCCCCAAGAATATAAATTGGTTAAAATGGGATTCCATGATGTGTCTATCATACAGAATTAGATGTATTGATCAAGCGCATATGAAAAGCTTGATAACGTTACGTATAGTAGTAGAGTTAATGAAGAAAAAAATGTAGATTCAGAGACGGATTTGAGGGGGTTGGGCTGTAATCCCCCCACACTCAAGACTAAGAACATTTTTCTTAATGTATTTTTTTATTTTTTCCGTAAAAAACCAGTTTTCATGTGTAAATTTTTTTTTCCATGTAATGGCCCAATCTTAGATCCAATACTGAATCCGTCCCTGTGTAGATTGATTATTCAATGACCAAAACCATAGCCAATGAATGCCACAAAATTTTGGTTGCTACTTGCTAGAGAAGTAGTGATGTGTCGTGTGTGTGGGCGATGGCCTTAAATGCATGAGAGAGGCTCTTCTTTATTATGGAGAATGTCACCACAATCTCTCAACCACATTTTTTTAAAAATTTGTTGGGAGTTTCCTAGTTTTATTGTAATAATGATTTAATTGAAAATAATCTGTCCTAAATCGAAATACGTGTTTTTTTTTTTTTAAATTCTTGCTCTTTTTAAAAAAAAAATAATAATAAATTAAACTAGTATTTGCATGGTTGGTCGGATGAGATATTAGTTTGTATTAAATTATGGTCCTATTCAGAAGGGGATTAACAAGATCCAATAATAGAATATGGTATAGTTCTTATCCATACATACCATGCAAATTTGAAATTGATTGGATTTGTTGCATTCGTTTGGAGTGTGGTTTGGGCGTTGTCGGTTTTGATTTCATTAGGTGAAATTATATATGGTAAACTTTTATCCAATTGCTGAACCATTTTGGAGGATGCATGTGAAGGGGAGAGACGACCTTGCATGGTCTTGTGATTTGCTCTTGATTAGATGGCATGCCTCGTTCGTCAAGGCTTAACTATAAAAAATGTGGCTTGAGTGACAATTGATTTCTAAGTCTCTCAAATGCAAAATGCAAATATCGGTTGCGGTGAAATATCGGTTAATAGGACAATTTTGAAAATAGAGCTCCTTGAGAAGGAAAATATACCTGTTGCATGAATCAGACAACGTGAATAATGAATCAAACAACGTGAACAGAATTAAGAAAGTAAAGAGAAAACACAGAAAAATATTTATTGTACTATTTAGTTTCTCTCGTATTACATACCTTATATGTGTTTCTTATTTTTCTAAACAATAGCTTTTCTAGAATGCACGATTAGTAACGATCCAATAAAATTAGCTTAATTTATGAATTCCTCCTAAATAATTCACCAAAATTTGTGAGAAACAAAATATCTCTATACAATATTCCACCACAAAATCTATCGAAGAAGATTGGGACAAAATTTTCAAGAGAAAATAGATAATCCAAATCAGGTGAGGGTTGCATGAAAACCAGTTATTCCAATATATCAAATTCTAACTGGACAACTCATAGTGAAGACTTGTAGTAATCGTCATACGTGCTATATACATGGTAGTTAGTTATTTGATGTAGATTTTTATTATCTTATGCACCAAATAACAAACTGTTATGTATATATCACGTAGGACGACTATGAGTAGTTTTCACTTTAAATAGCATTATTCAAAGAAGATGACTGTTCACCTAATCAACAAGTGACCAAGATTCTACTCTACCTACAGACCACACAAATGTATCCTACTAACATCCACACGTACGGTACTACTCACAATTATAACACCATGTTTGAAAAAAGCTTATAATTATTTATAAGCTGATTAAATTCTTTTTTTTTTTCAACCACGCATTACAAAATTAAAACATCATATATAAGTGGGGATTGGATCTCCAACGAAAGGTGCAATAATTTCATGTTTTGTTATTTTTATTTTAGATATTATTGATATATGTAACAAAAGAATGATGTGACACATATTTAATTTCCTTGAGTATTACAAGGACATTTAACTATAATTTAGTATTGAATTATTGTATCGGCAAATTGAAAATGGACAAAATTATTTTCAATCTTGACATGTCCCATACCTTTCACATATTTGAACCAACTTGTTTTATTCATAGTGCATGGAGAAAATACGCAATTTTCAACTAAAAGTTAGAAAAAAAATTATATTTTGTTCATCGGAGTCGTACACATTATCACCATACATCAAGTGTAGTGTTTATGTGGCTCATGTCACTTTTAGACTTGCAATTTGAAGGAAATTGTTGAAAATTATTGAACGCCAAAATCGAAAAATTCATAGTTTAATCCAAGTATCCATGAATGGATTCAAAAGCATTTCTATTTCCATATGCTTGGATACAAAGATGGAGCATTCGTTCTCACCTCACTTGTACCCGCCGCCTTCAATGCCGATATCCTTATTAGCATCTTGCACATCCAATCCCATATTGCTTAAATTATTTTCAATTAATTGGCCAACCAAAATTTTGTGTGATGACTGTTTACGATGGCTTCCTTTTGAATTCAGTGGATAGAAGAGACTATCAAATAGATGAGGTGAGTTGAAGTAGAGTAGACTGATGATCCTTGAGTCGTTTCGCTGCCTATGAGAAGCGTAGCTGCACTATCCTTCTTTTAGGACTTACATGAATTTCTTTCCATTCCCTCCATACTGGACTAAGGGTATAGATACTATCATTACTGTCTGGATAATTAGACATCGAACCCGCGATTGTTCCAAGCTAGTACCCGATCTATCAGTGTACTCATTGTTCCTTAAACATTTAGCCCAGTTGTCTATGCAAGGTCAACCTCCTCTAACAATGTCCTAAAACCACCCTCCATAGACCGTGCAAGTGCAACAGAAATTGAAACTCATTATTCTTGTCGTGACTCTCAAGTGTGGATTAACTTTATTTTATTATAAAAGATTATTAACTATTCGTATTTTGTATTATGTCGCAATAATTATATAAACTGTTACTGATCATAAGTAATGCTCTCGATGATGTCCATGTGAAAGCCCCATGTTCATACACGTGGCATTGGGCCGACAAAAAGGAGAAGTTATAGAAGAGGCCAACTGCCGAATTTGTTGCATTGAACGCCGAGGTTGTTTTACTACAATTTTTTTAAGTGGCTCTAACCTCATTCATTCGAAGTGGGCTGACGTCTTTCTGCTGAACCCCTTAGCACTGGAGGTCTTTGACGCCCGATGGGTCTGATAAGTGTATCTAAGGAATTGATTGATGGGACGTTCTCATTAAATAGATATTAGGAATATCAATCTAGGAATGTAGGGTGGCTGACCCTTTGTCAAATGTCCATCAATGTAATTAATGTGAGGTAGAATCGATATGACATCAAGGTCTAACAGGTTAGACCACGTGGATCGGATCCAACGATAACCACGTCGGTCTGATCACTATAAATAGCTAACTCTAGTAACATTTTAAGGGATGAATCTTTAAGTATACAAAAGAGCATCATATATTCTCTACACATGAAGACCGCTTGTCACTGTGCATATTCTCTATCTACAAAATACGTCCATGTGTACATTGTTTTCAACGATACCTGTTGATTCATTTTTTAAGGTCAACATAAACCATTTTTAGTTATCTTCATTTTAAATTTCTTCCCAGCTTGGCAAAAACCTAGAACTAAGATTAGATCTAGAATCCCTGTGAACATGTGTGTGCTTTTGCTTTACATGATTTCTACTTACTATTTCTCTCAAAGGCTAAACGGCACAAAATTCCCTACCTATTGCGCAATATATATGGCGTTCAGCGTTGCTAATAATTATTAGTCATTATTCATTGGAGGCGATCTCTCAATCACTTACGGACCAAAGTAATTAGAAACACAGCTAAGATGACCGTTGCAAAGAGAAAAATCATAAAAACCAAGTAAAGACTAACCTTTTAATCCACCAACTTTTAAAGGCAATCAACCTATCAAAATATTAAAGCAACAAGGATGGTCTCTTTTAATATTCCCTTTAATATACGCAACAGCCCTTTATTATTATTATTATTATTATTATTATTATTATTATTATTATTATTATTATTATTATTATTATTATTATTATTATTTCTTCTCTATACCACTCTTGGATTGATCATGCGTCCTCCTACTCCAACATATTTTAGGAGCTTTTTCCCCTCTAATTAATTAATTACCAGTTGAATATTGGATTAATACAAGCTATTGTCAATGATATTTTTTAACTTATATGTATGTTAGGTAAAGCTTGAATTTTTTATTAGACCTACAACTAAATTAATTCTTAGTTTTGAGTATGGTAAAAGTTAATTCTTAGTTTTGAGTATGGTAAAAGTTAAATTAACCAAAAAAATAGTGGACTACTAATAAAAGTGGTAAGATTGTAAAAAACCCTATTCAAGTTCATGAAAATTCGTTTCTACGAACTAGAAAAAAATGTATCGGGTACGTCAATTAGTACGTACGAAAGAAAGATTATTATGTTGGCCATTGGATATTATTGTACTATGCAAGAAATTTAGTTAAAGGAATTTTGAAGCAACTTTATGGAAACAACCTTTTTATAGAAATAACAAAAAGCCTAAAGAAATGAAGTAAAATTAAAAGTACTTGAAACCCATTACTAGAATTTAGTTATAAAAGTTGATGAAATGCATAATTAAAATTAATTGTTAACTTTTATCTCACCTTATATAAAAAAGGCACTTATATTTATTGTTCGAAGGCACTTTCAACCTCGTAAATAACTCATGTGAAATTTGACGTGAATAATATTGTAAGGCTCGAGTCACGTAACATTTTTACCATATCGAAGTTGGCACATTATTGTCACAAATCACAGTCGAAAATTAATAATACATCAATTTTTATTTCATCTAGTCCATAGGTCATATGCTGAAGGAGATTCAAGGGAAGCAATTTTCTTTTCCTTCTTCAAATCCTTGTAGAATTTCTTAATGAACTCTTCAGCATCCTTATCTACTTGATGACTATAATCCTCTGTATCCTTTAATGGAAATGGCGAGTCTGTCACCCTCAATTGTCTCACCATCGGGCTAACCCCGAATCCAGGGAGTGTCAAAGGAGATAATTCCGCCGGATCGTAATGATTGAACATATCAAACACTCTTTGAACCACATTTATTTCTTCTACACGGTTGTGGTGGCGCCGGTGGCGGTTTTTGCTCTTGAAGTGGTAAACCGGGGTGTTGCTGCAGCTGAATTCGTACTCTCGAGGTGTCACGAATGACGTGTTGATGTTGTTGGAGCGGCAGGTAAGGGCAGCGTAGTAGTCGAGGTGGCGGTGGTGGTGGAGCAAGAGGTTGCCAATGGCTATTTTTCCACGCTTTAAGAGCATATGAAGATCAAGTAGTAGCTTACTCTTTGATATGCCTTTCCTCATCACGTGGAACATTATTCTCACTATGTTCCATAATTTCTTGGCTATCAATGGTGGACCAATTGGTTCAACTTCCATTCTTTTCTTTTCCTTTTTTTTTTTTTGGAGAGAAAGAGTGATGGTTTAGTGTGTAGACAAGAGAAATCAGAGTGCGTGTGTATATATAGAGAATTAAGCTCCTTGTACAGATGAAACGTACAAAATGCATTGTAAATGATGAGTTAGCAACACTGTATTGGCTGATTTAACTATATTTTTTTGCTCAACATCTAATGAAATTTTACCAACTGGCTCAAATATTTTTGTACATCTAGTATTTATGACATATAAATATATATGGATGTATGCATATAAAGGTCCCTATAAGAAATAATTGCATGGCCCAATGTAGAGTACATAGAATTAAGAATGCCAGTAGACAATAAGGGTATTCTTCATATTGTACTCCCTCCTCGTGTAAAAAAACAGATAGATATTGGTTGAGGGCTTAACTCAGTTTGGCTGGAATCAATTGCAGCATCTACTTTCAAACATGGCACTGTAGTTGAATTGTACTGTGAATCGCGGATCGAAATCCGAACAATCCGAAGAATACTAGCAAAATGTCAAGCCCCATAATCAAGGTCGACTATGATCTCTTTCTAAGAATGCACTGCTCAATGAGTGGTACAAATTGAACTCGTCGTGTGATTGTGTTTAAAATCGTCACACTTTTCAAGGTACCAAAATTCATTTGCTACCTCGCAAGGAAAAAATTTGAATTAATGTATATGAGTTTGTAGATTGATTGAATAGGTATTATTCATCATTTCTTGAGATAAAATATTATCACTAGTAGCTTGTTTTAATTACGAGAAATGGAATATAAATTTGTACAAATCAAATAAAATACGAAATGCAATAAATTTGTTAATTATGTAGCTAGCTATATTATTGGCGAGCAACTTTAAATAGTCTCTCTCTCTCTCTCTCTCTCTCTCTCTGTTGCATTAGTGACGTGAAACTGATAGTGAAAAGTCGACCTGCAACTTAGGTAATTGTCCATGGTTCACAATTTTTTCTTTTATTTTTGCATATTTTTTGTGGGGTTGATTTCAAATGAAACCACAATTATAAAACCATGCTTCTAGAAGTGATGTATTAAATACATAAGGGTCAATTTCACACTAAATTAATATACAAAAATAAAATATTATAGAAAAAAATGGTTCCTTTCCTCCCTGTCGAGGGTGAATAATAGGACATACTAAGGGACAATGAGCCTTCATAAAATTCCCAAAGAAAGGGAGCCCTTGCCCACTACAAAAGACATTATAATAATAATTCTAAATAAAATAAAAATAAAAAATACAAGAAAAAGTGTAAATAAAGTTCCATATTAACTAAATATAGTGTAAGTAATGCGTCATTCTATTTAGTAGTTAACTTTCTAAAATGGAACTTTTATCTTGACAAGTGGTATTCGAATTTGACACAATTAAGCTGACAAATGAAAGTGGTGGACCCTGAGTTGGTTAACAATTGTTGAAGATCCATGGATGGATACAAGGTGATTATGTCCACATATCGCATAAGCTCCAAAAAGAAATATAAAGAAGAAAAAGGAGGAGGTTAGGGTTTCATTGATACTATATTAATTAATTGAATGCTAAAAGATAGTTTAATCTAAATACAAAGAGAATATATATAGGCTAAACAAAGGAAACTAAAAAGGACTATTCTACCCTTAATAAATGATAAATAATTCTATATTTCTTAACATCTCCCCTCAAACTCACGATGCGGCAGCTACAAGTATCGAGAGTTTGCCAACTAGAAAATGAAAACGAAAAATAGAATGCGACTTGGTAAAAAAATCTGCAAGCTGCAAAGAAGAAGAAACAAAGGGCAAAGTAATTGTGCCATGCTTGAGATGATGATGAGTAAGAGGACAATCAATCTCAATGTGCTTAGTTCATTCATGAAAAATCGAGTTGTGAGCAATCTGAATAGAACTTTGGTTGTCGCAATACATAGGAGTGGGATGAGAAAGAAAAACTCTCATATCTGCAAGTAACCAACGTAACCAAAAAATCTCTTTAGTAGTAGATGCCATAGTACGATATTCTGCTTCGGTGGAAAATTGAGAAACAATAGATTGTTTCTTGCTTTTCTAAGAAATAAGAGAATCACCCAAAAAGATACAGAAACCAGTAATAGACTTGCGATCTGTGGGATCACTGCCATGATCAGCATCAGAGTATGCACCTAGCTCCAAGGAGGAGGTGGATGGAAGTAACAGACTCTGAAAGACTGTACCCCGAAGATATCGCAAAATGCGAAGAACAGCTGCCCAATGAACTGTAGTGGGAAAAGCAACAAATTGACTAATAATATGAACAGCATATGCAATATCTGGACGAGTAATAGTGAGATATACCAAGCTCCCAACAGTAGTACGATATAAAGTAAGATTTGACAAAGGTAAACCATCAGAAGAAGAATACTTCGCGTTAACCTCAATTGGAGTATCAACAATCTTATTATCAGTAAGTCTTGCCCGCTCAAGAATATCTGCAACATATTTCGACTGAGAATGCCACAAATAAAAACTAGAAGAAGAAAGACTCAAACGAAACGAAGACAAATCAACACTAGCAGCGGCAGCAGCAACTGACACTTTTAGCTCATCCAAAATATATAGTCCACCCTTCCTACGGCCTGTCCCAATTAGCTTCTGAGACTGCAGATCCTGCACATAACAAGAAGAAGAGGAAAAGGTAACTAAATTACCAGAATCACATAACTGAAAAAACAAAAGCAAGATTTAATGTGAGTTTCGGAATATGATAAACATTAGGGAGGGACAAGTGAGGTGTGACAACAGAACCAACACCTGCTAATGGCATGGGAGTGCCATCAGCAATCATAACAGCAATAGAGGACGAAGGGGACACAGAAGCAAAAGACGAAGAATCTGGAGACATATGATGTGAAGCACCAGAATCCAAGACCCATACAGAATGTGACATACCTGAAGAACTATGAGGCAACTGACCTATGGAAGAAGCAAACATAGCTTGAGGCTGTAAGGAGAGAAACTTCTGAAATTGCTCAGCCAAAGTACTAGGATCAGTGATAGGACCTGATGAAGCTACTGCTGCAGTATTAGATTGTAGTGGTCTATGAGCATTAGATCGTGATTGGTTGCCAGGCTTCCAAGCTTGAGATTGCAACTGTAATTGATTCGACTGTCTCAACTTAGGACACTGAGCCTTCCAATGACCTTTATGCTTACAGAAACTGCACTCGTCAAAGGCAACCCTTGTGTAAGCTTATTTTGATTATTAGAGGATGACTTATAAGACACTGCTAATACAGAACGCTTAGAAGCAGAAAGAATTCGATTTTCAGCATAAGACTTAAGACGTATTTCTTCAGCCAATAACTCGCTGACAACTGAGTCAACAGAAGGAAGTGGAGAACGATGCAAAATTGAACCTCTGAGTCCTTCAAAATCACTGCGAAGTGCCGTTAAAAATTGTACCAACCGTTGCTGCTCTCTATGAGTAATATAGGTAGCACATGCCTTTAATTCTGTCGATTCTGTAAGGGCCAATTGATCCCAAAGATCTGTCATAGCAGAGAATAAAACTCCTGAATACTCATATTATTCTGATGAAGAGCTCGTATATCATTCTCCAATTGATACTGCTTTGCAAAATTTGACTGAGTGAATAATCTTTGTAGATGATCCCAAACCTCCTTTGCTGTCTCATACTTCGCCAACTCTCTACCTATGGAATGCTTCACAGAGTTGTTAATCCAAGTAATAATTTTTAAATTATTTGATTCCCAAGCATCTATCAAAGCAGCATAACCCTCATTGGTATTCTCAGGTTTCACAGAAGTTCCACTAATGAATCCCCACATCTTTTTACCCTTAAGAAAATTTCTCATCACATAACTCCAATACGAATAATTCTTTCCATCCAACCTCACACTCACAGACTGAAGGGAATCGTCTCTTTCAGCAGCCATAATAAAAAAAATAACAGATTGCAGAAATAACAGATTTAACAGATTGCAGAAATACCAAAAATAATTTTCGGGGCTCCGCCCCTAACCCCGTCAAGGGCGCGCTGCCCCCTGCAACCCCCAGCCAACTGTGTTTGAGATTAAGTTTTGTCTCATGAAATCTGGTTCTGATACCATGTTAAACAATTCAAAGAAATATAAAGAAGAAAAAGGAGGAGGCTAAGGTTTCATTGATACTACATTAATTAATTGAATGCTAAAAGATAGTTTAACCTAAATACAAGGAAAATATATATAGGCTAAACAAAGGAAACTAAAAAGGACTATTCTACTCTTAATAAATAATAAATAATTCTATATTTCTTAACAATTGAAGCATGTGATATTTCTTGATTTGATAAAGATGGAAAATAAGATTGTCGCTCAAGCATCATCAAGCTAATCTTGTAATACTCTTTTTAAAAGGATCGTCAAAAAAGTGTGAACAAATACTCAAGTGAGCTAGCCACAATGTTAATAATTCGCTCCTTTATCCCTTTTTTGACAATTAGTAAAAATGATTTTTTTGAAAAAAATTGAATTCTGAAATAGTAATTTTTCGAAATATGGTTAAAAGCAAGGAAATTTTTTTGAATTTATATAAAGAATATTTTATTATGAAAATGCATGGTTAAAAATAAATTTAGAAAACTAGATTTTTATTTTTTTTAAATTTATTTTTTTAAACACATGTACTAAAGTTTCTCCCTTTTCCTTCATACCATGTTTTCTTGATTCTTGAGAGAGCCTCTATGAGTGGGCCCTAATAAAAATATCCAACTACTAGCATTCGAATTTCCTAGTCTTCCAATTACAACCGTAAACCACGCAATTTATGGTCGAGTTTGATAGCCAGTCATCAAACTTACGATCATGTAAAGTAATTGACATTGTTTTTGACAGGTTAATTTTTATTTATTTATTTCAATATACGATTAGATAACTAACATTAAAGAATTTTATAATAATATTATAACATACTATTGTCTTCTAACCAAATAAAAAAAAGTTTGTCCGATCAATTTCTGCCAAATTTTCGATCATTTAAATTGGATTT